GGGACGGCACGAGGCGAGAGCTTGTCCGCGGAGGTGTCGCGGACAAGAGCCAAGCACCCCCCAGACACGAAACCGCGACGCAACACCAGGGAACCCTGTCCAAAGACTGGTCGGTGAAACCTCTGGTCGAGAGACACGTGGCCAGAGGTTCAGCTGGTGCGCGGCGTACCTGACCGCGTAGGGCCACAGAAAATGGGGGGCACAGGCGTGAGTCAGGGAGGTGCGGGCGATCTCCATGACCAGGCCTATGCGGCGCTCAGCAACCCCATTCTGCTGTGGGGACTCTGGAAGCGTCCAGGACTGACGAATGCCCTGCTCGCGACAGAATCCAGCGAGAATGCCGGAGCGAAACTCACCCCCACGGTCGGAGTGGAGACAGCTGACACGACGACCACGAGTGTCCTCGGTGGTGAGCAACCACCTGATCAGCGTAGAAGTCACCTCAGACTTCTTCGCCAGAGGGAACACTGTGGTGTAGCGGGAGAAGTCGTCAACGACCACCAGAAAGTAACGCTCACGCTCAGGGCCTAGACGAGGGGCTGGGCCCCAGACGTCCAAGTGAAGCGTCTCAAAAGGCTCGGTGGCCGGACGAAGGGAGGAGGAGTGAGGGGTGGCGCGCAGCCTACCCTCGACGCAGGGACGACACGGCGGCGCAGGCGAAGGCGGCAGCGACGGCAAGACACGTGGGAGGCCTAGGACAAGACGCTGACTAGACATAGCGCGCAGACGTGGAAGGGACGGGTGCCCCATCCGGTGGTGCCACAGAACGGTGGGGTGGGCAAGCGACCGGCAGGAGCACGACGCAGCGACTGGAACAGACGGAGGAACCTGACACGACACAGACACCTGGGGGGACGTAGCAACCTGGTGAGACGCGGGGACCCGAACGGGGGGGGGAACCGGGGGCAGTGGCAGTAGGGGGGGCTGCTGGTGCGGCCGCTGGTGCTGCTGCTGCTGCTGCTGCTGCGGCTGCGGCTGCTGCTGCTGCTGCGGCTGCTGCTGCGGCGCACGCGGGCCAGTGTGAAGAGTGTAGAGACCCGAGCCCGGCTCAGCAGTAAAGGTAGCAAGAGGCTGGTAAGAGTCTCCGTCAACACACACCGCAGTCTCTCCAGAAGGCTCAAACCACACACCCACGTGCTGGCTCACGAGGGGTCGCACGCCCACCAAGTTCCGGGAGAACGAGGGGACGTGAAACCCAGTGAGAGACCCGGAGGGAGCAGCAGGACACGGTAAAGTGGTAGTGTGACGTGCAGTGACTGGTCCCGTAGTGGGATCAGCCAACGCTACAGAAACAGGCGCAGGAAGTGGTGTAAGTGTCGTGCTGTCCCGAAAGAAGCAGTGGGAGGCTCCACAGTCCAGTGTGAACGACAGCGAAGCGTCCCCTGAGGTAGTCGCTGGTCTAGAGTCTACACAAGTACCTACACTAGCAACAGGCAACTCAGCAAGACTAGCACCTAAGCTAACAACACCAGAGTAAACAGAGTCAGAAACACTAGAGTCAACAACAGCATACATAGCATGAGGAGCACTAATCAGATCAACTAACTGCTCAGCAGACATGCCCCACAGAGCGGAGCCGTAGCGCTGAACCAGAGGAAGCCAGTCAGGAGCAGGACCGCCAACCCCGTAGGTCAACCGGACCGTGTCAGTGAGCTGAGCAAAGCACTGACCAGGGGGGTGAAAGCGGCCACAAGGGTGGCCCCGACGAGGACCTGTCTGAACCTGGTAGGGGCAGGGAGGGTAAGCAGCACCGCGCTGGGGCTGACGCAGCCCCGACCCCGGAGCCAGCTGCTGACGCTGCTGCTGCTGAGGCTGCTGGGAGGAAAGGGGCTGCTGCTGCTGCTGAAGGTGCTGCTGACGCTGAGCCTGGTACCACGCCGCTGCTCCACCTAGCGGGGCCGACAGTACAGGAGGCGACTGACGAGCTCGAGGGTCGCTGCCACCAGCAGGTGCAGTGGAGTCACCGGCCGCTGCACGAGGGGTCTCTCCAGACGCTGCACTCCCACCACCGCCAGTCGCAACAGCACCCCCACTACCTCCGCTACCTCCGCCTCCACCTCCACCGGAACCACCTTTCTTGCCCCCCCTGCCGCGGGACCGCGACGCAGTCGTAACAGCAGCCGCAGTCGCGTTAGTAGCGGTAGTGGCAAGAGAGGCAGTGAAGGTGGGTAACTGCGGGACTGTGCACCCGTGGAAGAGTGGGGGGGATACAGTACCAGAGGCGGCAGCTACCGAACGAAGGTTGCTCTCGACATCCTTGAGTGCAGACTCAAGGACCTCGATAGTCAGCTCACTAGGGTGCTTCAGCAGAAGCGCGTCACGAACGGAGGCAAGGCGGTCAGGGAGGCTAGTGGCGATGAAATAGACAGTAATCGCCATGGGGGGAGGAAGCAGTGCAAGCTGTGCCTCAGTGCAAGCAGCGCGGTAACTAGCGTCAAGCGAGCGGAGGTGAGCGATCAAGTCAGCAGAGCGCTCAAACGAGGCAAGATCAGGAAACAGGAACGGGAGGAAAAGACGGCCGAGAGAGACAGTAGCGGGAGTAGAGTAGCGGGCCTTAATCGCAGTGAGGTACGCAGCAGCGGTGCGAACCTGAGTAAAGTGGACCTCCTCGGACTCAGGGAGGAGGCTGCTGAGTGCGATGCAGGCCGCAGCGTCACGCGACGTCCAAGCCGTCCGGTCAGCGCGCTGACGGGCAAAGCGAGCCGTAGCAGCATCGTCAGGAGCAGGGCCTAAAGCTGTAGGCTCGGGGGGCTCGGGGAGGTCACCAGTAGCGTGTGACCAGAGGGTCTCGCCCCCCTGGACCTGACTCTCTAACAGACGACGAGCGCGAAGAAGCCAGACGGAAAAGTCAAGGGGTCTACCGTCGGCGTCGAAACGAAGAACTCGCGGAGTCGCCATAGTGAGAACGAACAGGCGAGTAACAACCGGGGGGGGAAGAGGACTCAGTCGCAGCGGAAGAGTGGGCTAGGACGACGGGCCAAGACGTAGGGTAGGGCAACGGGCCAGGGCCTAGGGTAGGGCGACGGGCCAGGGCCTAGGAAGGGCGACAGGCCAGGGCATAGGGAGGGCGACGCGACGGGGGAAAGGTCAGGGCGACGCGACGGGGCAGGGCGACGCGACGGGACAGGGCGACGCGACGGGGCAGGGCGGCGCGACGGAGCAGGGCGACGGGACAGGGCAGGGCGACGCGACGGGGTAGGGCGACGCGACGGGACAGGGCGACGGGACAGGGCAGGGCGACGCGACGGGACAGGGCAGGGCGACGCGACAGGACAGGGCGACGCGACGGGACAGGGCGACGGGACAGGGCGACGCGACGGGACAGGGCGACGGGACGGGGGGGGGTAACAGGCAGGCGCGACGCGACGGGGGGGAACGGGCGCGACGCGACGGGGGGGAACGGGCGCGACGCGACAGGGGGAACGGGCGCGACGCGACGGGGGGAACGGGCGCGACGCGACGGGGGGAACGGGCGCGACGTGACAGGGGGGAACGGGCGTGACGCGACGGGGGGGGAACAGGCGTGACGCGACGGGGGAGATGACGCTAGGCTCGGTACTAGGCGCGGTAACTACGAAACTGGTACGAACGAGAGGTAGGATCAGGCTCGGGAGGTACGAACGGAGAACGGAGGAACGGGATCCCACAGGATCCTAACCTAGCTGATACCATGTCAGAATGAGGAATGAGTGTTGCATTGATGTTGGTTGGGGTACATATGACAAACCCTAACTTCTGTACCCCCTAAGACAAACCTCACTACAGGCTACAACATTTGACAGTACCCCCTATGGGATACCCCACTATAGCCTACAGAAACAAGTAAGCTATATGTTCTGACACTATACGGTAAGATAATATTCCGACTCTTTGTAGAGTTAAAGTCTGAGTAAAAAAGATGTAATAGCGGAAGCGTTTGAAAAAAGTCCTTGAACCACCTTGCGCTAGTATGTGAGGGCAAAGTAAGTTGATTAAAGCAAAGAGATACTGGAATATATATATGAGTACAGATAATATGAAGAGATATAATTGTAACTGTTTTACTGTTGCGGTTCGATACAGTGCGACTCGGGCAACTGCTCAATGTCGAGTCAGTTGTGTGTCCTTGCTGTCTCGCTGCGTCAGGTCAAAGGTCGCTGACCTTTGACTTTCTCGTAACCTCCAGCGGTTAAGTTAACCTCCGAGGGTTGACTCGCGGTGCTTCGATTTGAGCTGCTTCGCTTGTGTCTTGAGTTTCGACACGACAGAGGCGCTTAAGACTATTTGTTCCCAACAATGGAAAGGTCACCAGGTTGATTCCTGCTGGCACGTTTCCAGAACCTAGACAAGAATTGTTCCATTTAGTTTTATGCTACTTAGTTTTAAAATTCTAAGAGTGTATGAAAATCGCTTTGCAACCCTAGGTCGACTTTGACGCCTCTTGTTTGGATTCTCACTACTCGGATTTCCAGAGCTGTTTTCTAGAGAACTCTGAAATTCAGGGTTCATTATGAGCGTTACTCTGATTTGTCAGAGAAAACTTAACTTCTGAAAAAGACACTCCAGGCGACTAGTGTACCTATTTTCCTAATTGAGCGTTCTTCCAAATATTGAACCCTGGCCTTCGGCACTCCTACCGTTAAACAATAGCGTTAGGCTACACGCCCACTATTCGACCACGTTTATAGATATTTTAGATCCATCACAAATATGCACTGGTCTCTGAGAGAAGCTAAAATCAGAACCCTGACAAATCAGAGAAAACTTATCCTCCAAAAAAATTACCCAGACACGTCAGAGTGACCCCCTGAAAACTACTCTGATTTTCAGAGAAACAGAGTAATTTACTCTGATAAAAAAACCCTATTCCCAACCCTAATTCAGACATTCCGTTGCGTTCCTACTTTGAGAAATGGACAATCAATTCGCTTGGCGAACATGAGCATCTGTATTTAAAATCTAGATGCTCGGCAGATGTGCCATTTGGTTGGCATTTGCTACTATGTTATTATGCAGCAGAGTCAGCCAATGTTTGCCTTAGCCAGGGACTTGCATGTGATGACACCGCTTGCCACCCGCATTGGTTTGTCCAGAAGTGTAGCAACGCAATCCTCTGTGGTCTTGAGCTGTGGCTGCACAGCCTCCCATATCTTCTTCTTCTGCAGCTGCCAGGGAAACACGATGGCAGCAAAGGGAGATGGAAGCCTCCAATAACGTGACGATCAAATGCCTCATGGGGGGCCACTGATACTGATTGCACTGATGGCGATGATGAGACGACACTGATGGCAATGATGAGACGACGCTGACAAAGAGCAGAAGTGAAACACGAGGAGGCAATGGCAACCAGTTGGAGTTGGGGGCAAAGAGTGAGCCAGGCGATAAACGCCATGTAAGGGAAATTATGCGTTCCCAACCTCCACGCTCTACCACTGGCAACAACCCCCTTTCTCTACCACTGACCACAACCCCTTCCTACCTCAGCAACCGTTCCATGTCTCCGCTCTCTACACACCTGGTTTGGAGTGGCAGCAGCAGCTTGCGAGGCAACGTCAGCCTCGGCGCCGAACCAGATGCGCTCGCCCGGCGCAGCTTCGGCGGGCGGCGAGAGGAGCTGGACGTTCTCGTGGGCGTCATCGGAGGCAGCGAGCAGCATGCCGTTGGACTTGACGCCCCTCATGTTGCGCGGCTTTAAGTTAGCCAGCACCACCACCAGCCGATCCTGGGAGAACAAAGGGGGCGGGGGGGAGGGGAGAAGGTGGGGGGATGGGGTGGAACGTGGCGGGTTGGGGGAAGGAGAGGAAGAGAGAGGAAGAGGGTGAGGTTGCATTTGGATCTGACGCTGCCCGACTTCATGCTCGCCAGCACCACCACCAGACAATCCTGGGGGGTGGAGGGGGGAATGGGGAGGGGTTGGGTGGAGGAAGGAGGAGAGGGGGAAGGAGAGGATGAGTTGGTGTTTGAACTTGACGGCCCTTGTGTTGCATGGCATCACACTGCCAACACCACCTTGTGTTGCATGGCGTCACACTGCCAACACCACCTTGTGTTGCATGGCGTCACACTGCCAACACCACCTTGTGTTGCATGGCGTCACACTGCCAACACCACCTTGTGTTGCATGGCGTCACACTGCCAACACCACCTTGTGTTGCATGGCGTCACACTGCCAACACCACCTTGTGTTGCATGGCGTCACACTGCCAACACCACCTTGTGTTGCATGGCGTCACACTGCCAACACCACCTTGTGTTGCATGGCGTCACACTGCCAACACCACCTTGTGTTGCATGGCGTCACACTGCCACCACCACCAGACAATCCTGAAACGGGCGGAAACGAAGGGAGAGGTGGGGTGGGAAGAGAGGGGAAAAAAGGGTGGAAGACAGGATTGTTTGATGGGGATGACGACCCTCATGTTGTTCCCCTCGGGGTAAACTAGGCGTTCGCTGCGTCAGGGCACTTTCATGTCCTCTTTGTGATTCATTCAATCGGTTCATCATACCTACCACCCGACTGCCATCCTATCGCGAACCACTCACCTACACGGCCTCACCTGCATGTCCGCCTCACCTGCATGTCCGCCTCACCTGCATGTGCGCCTCACCTGCATGTCCGCCTCACCTGCATGTGCGCCTCACCTGCATGTCCGCCTCACCTGCATGTGCGCCTCACCTGCATGTCCGCCTCACCTGCATGTCCGCCTCACCTGCATGTCCGCTTCACCTGCATGTCCGCCTCACCTGCATGTCCACCTCACCTGCATGTCCGCCTCACCTGCATGTCCGCTTCACCTGCATGTCCGCCTCACCTGCATGTGCGCCTCACCTGCATGTCCGCCTCACCTGCATGTGCGCCTCACCTGCATGTCCGCCTCACCTGCATGTGCGCCTCACCTGCATGTCCGCCTCACCTGCATGTGCGCCTCACCTGCATGTCCGCCTCACCTGCATGTGCGCCTCACCTGCATGTCCGCCTCACCTGCATGTGCGCCTCACCTGCATGTCCGCCTCACCTGCATGTGCGCCTCACCTGCATGTCCGCCTCACCTGCATGTGCGCCTCACCTGCATGTCCGCCTCACCTGCATGTCCGCCTCACCTGCATGTCCGCCTCACCTGCATGTGCGCCTCAACTGCATGTCCGCCTCACCTGCATGTCCGCCTCACCTGCATGTGCGCCTCACCTGCATGTCCGCCTCACCTGCATGTCCGCCTCACCTGCATGTCGGCCTCGGGAATGTATTTGACGAGGCCGCTGCAGATGGTGCGCGGGCCGCCCTCCTCGCCCACGTCCACCTCCTCCACGTACAGGCTGTCCGCCTCGGGGTGCTTCCACGCCCGCACCACCCGCCCCACGCGCAGCTCCAGGGCCTCGGCGAGGCTGCACACATCTGCCACGGGCATGCGAGGGTTGAGAGAAACGAAGGAGAATCGTTGCACACGCTGTCCGCCTCGGGGACCTTCCACGCCCTCACGATGCGCCCCACGCGCAGCTCTAGGGACTCCGCCAATGTGCAAACATGTGGGAAGGGGTTTGAAACAGCGAAACAATGGAGACTCGCGTTACGAGCTGTGTGCCTCGGGGTGATTGCACACGCGCACCACGAGCGTAGCTCGTCGCCATTCCGATACAAAACTGCCGCCGTGATTAACCTACCAGGACCGGTGGCCGTAGGAGCGGCTACATCTGAAGCAGCAGCAGCTACAGCCACGGCGCTATCAGCTGATCCCTCAGCGGCAGCGCTAGCCGACACGGTATGCGAGGCCCGCCTGCTTCCATCCGATTTTCGTGACGCGCGCGGAAGCAAGCTGGCGGATGAGGACTGCAGCGAGGCGGACTGCAGAGATGCGGAGGCGGCAACACGCGGAAGTCGCGCGGTCAGGGCGGCGCGCAGCGAGGCGCTTGTAACCGCGACGGCCATTTATGATATTTAGGCGGAAGAGCGACGAGGGCTGATCGGAGTACCAGACGGACGCGCGTGGCTGTTAGGCACTCACGAGTTGCGATGAAACTGCTCGGTTTTCTCAAAACCGAATGCGATGTTCGGGAGGGTGAAGGCAGTTTGGCGAGATGTGAACTGTGGAATCTGCAATGCCTTCGGTAGTCGAGTGAAGTGGCAGGAGCATATGGAAGGAGGGGCGTGAGCTTGCCACGTTGCAGCATGTAGGATAAACCTTGGCAGGAAAGGAGGTTTGCTTCCATGTAATTATAATTTTTGAAAGTGTAATGAAATGTAACACTTTCTAAAATTTTGTATTGTGAAAAGGGGTACGTGGCCAACACAGGAAAAGTAGAGCCGAAGCGCTACTCACCCTCTTTTGCCTACAAAAGAGGGACGTGGGGACATTCGTCCCCACCCACGTTTTCATTTTCAAAATTGTACTCATTTCCCACCCGCCCACCCATTTGTGTATGCTGTTATGTAAACATATATAAGACGAGAACGATGTACTACTACCCATATGAAATGATAACGCTGTTGGGAACAAATATTCTTAAGCGCCTCTGTCGTGTCGAAACTCAAGACACAAGCGAAGCAACTCAAATCGAAGCACCGCGAGTCAACCCTCGGAGGTTAACGTAACCGCTGGAGGTTACGAGAAAGTCAAAGGTCAGCGACCTTTGACCTGACGAAGCGCGACAGCAAGGACACACAACTGACTCGACATTGAGCAGTTGCTCGAGTCGCACTGTATCGAACCGCAACAGTAAAACAGTTACAATTATATCTCTTCATATTCTCCGTACTCATGTATATATATCTTCCTGTATCTCTTTGCTTTAATCAACTTACTTTGCCCTCACATACTAGCGCAAGGTGGTTCAAGGACTTTATTCAAACGCTTCCGCTACCGTCATCACCCGGATATAAGACAGTGTTGAATACCGTCATACCCCGGATATAAGCGCCACCCGCGGATAAGCGCCTGGCGCTTTTAATTGGCGTGTGGCGCTTATATCCGGTGCTCGATTATAAGCGCATACCTTAAAGGCTTACAGATTATAACCGCATTGTCAAAATGAGGAATGAGTGCTCCATTGATGTTGGTTGGGGTACATATAGCAAATCCTAACTGTGAGAATAAACGAACAGGGATGAAAATGACTAAGGAAAGATGGGTACAAATACAACCCTAGAAACCCTGTACCCCATATGTGCTACCCCACTATAGCCTACAACAACTATGTCATATAAATCTGACACACCCCCATAGGCAAAGTGGGGGAGAACAAGGGGTCACAAGACCAGTCAAGCAAAGCAAAGCAAGCTCAGGGTGGATCACAAAGTCACCACACAGTCCGAGCACAAGAGTAGGGCCAGAGGCCAGTTCACATGCAGGAGTACAGACATATATATAAAACTAGACAAACAAGAGCAGGCATATATATATGTCTCAGTACAAGTGAAGTCAAGAGGAGAGCAAGTGAGGCAAGACAGGCACAAGACCCAGCTGGGTGCAAAAGCGCTGATGGTCACAAGGCGCGAGTGCCTTGGTGAACACATCAGCAGTGTTGGCCTCAGAGGCCACGTACGCAAGTCGCAACTGACCACGCTACTGCAGCTCACGAGCAAGGAAGTAGCGGAGAGCAATGTGCTTCGTTCTGTGCTCCAAGCGCTGCTCTCGACACAAGGCCAGCATAGCCTTGTTGTCTACGTACAGCACTGGAGGAGAACGAGGCGGCTCTCCAAGGTCAGTCAGCAGGTAGGTGAGCCAGCGAAGCTCCTGTGCAGCCATGGCCCCGGCGTAGATCTCAGCCTCACAACTGGAGCCGAGAACCGAAGACGAGCGAGTAGAACGCCACGAGACAGAGCCGGAACCAAGGCTGAAGGTGTAACCCTGTGACGACCGCTGCGTAGCCTGGTCGTCAGCCCAAGAAGCGTCCGCGTGGCCGGTAAGGACCACTGGACTCCGCCCTCCAAGCACTAGCCCCATGCCCGACGTGCTGCACAGGTAGCGCAATACCCTCTTCGCTGCAGCCATGTGCTCCGGTCTGTGTCTCCCAGGAGCAACATAGCGTGCAAGAATGCTCAGAGGGTATGCAAGGTCAGGTCGTGTGCAGGTCATCAGGTACATGAGGCAGCCAACAAGCTCTGCATACGGACCACTCGACTCTACGGACTCATCCGAAGGCAGAGCTGAGAGTGAGTGGCGAGTAGGTAGAGGAGTGGCCTGAGGCGAGGAGTACGTGAAGCCGAAGCGCTGAAGGACCTGCTGCACCATGTGTGACTGAGTCAAGGTAATGGTGCGGCGTGCTCTGTCCCGAGTGATCTGCAAGCCAAGGTAGCTGCGCAGTTCACCCAGGTCTGTGCACGTGTGTCTCTTCAGCAGCTCGGACTTCACGTAGGCGAGTCCAGCAGTGTCCGCTGTGGCAAAGACCAAGTCGTCGACGTACACGAGGATGTAGAACGGCGGCAGCGAGGTGTCGGTGCGCAGAAACAGCGACGGGTCAGCAGTAGAAGGAGCAAACCCAAGAGCCGCAAGCGTAGTCCTCAGTGTGTCGTGCCACTCACGCGGTGCCTGGCGGAGACCGTAGACTGGCCGTCTGAGGCTCCACTGGGTGCCAGGACGGAAAGTCCCAGTGAAGCCAGGTGGACGGCGCAGCCAGATCTCCTCGTGCAGGCTACCCTGCAGGAACGCAGTGCTGAAGTCAAGAGAGTGAAGCTCGTAGTCGCGCTGAGCGGCTATGTGCAGCAGCACCCGAAGAGTGGTCATCTTCGGGGTGGGAGAGAAGGTCTGAAAGTAGTCAACTCCCTGCCGCTGACTGAAGCCACGAGCAACGTACCGCGCCTTGAAGACAGGTGGAGAGCTCGGCGGCCGCTTCACCCTGAAGATCCACATGCCACTGACGATGTTCGCCCCAGGAGGGGGAACTGCGTCAACGTAGGTGCCTGTGGACTTCCAGGAAGCCATCTCTGCATCCATAGCTGCCTGCCACTGAGAGGAGTAGGGACCCTCTACGGCCTCCGCGTAAGAACGCGGAGTCGGGATGTCTAATGCATCCGGGTCTCCCTCAGGGGCAAGTAGTACAGACGCGAGATGAGGTGAAGCAGCCGCTAGACACTGTAACTCCTCCTGTCTGTCCTCTAGGACGTCCGTGCCAAGAGCACACTCACCCCCGACGGACGGAGGACAGACAGACGCAGACTCAGCAACAAGACCAGCAGCGTAGTCGAGACGATAGCGAGCAGCAAAGTCAACGAGCTCAGCGACTAGAGCAGACGCACTAGTGGACTCAAAAGAGGTGTCAGTGACGACAGTAGCAAGCAGACGCGTGACAGTAGGACTGGCAGCGCGAAGAGAGTCTGACTCAGGGTCGGCAAGCGCAGGAAGAGAGGACTCAGGAGGAGAAGGCAGAGGGGCACGCAGAGGAGCAGTGGACGGACGCAGAGACATCTGGTGCGTGCCAGGGACAGGAGGAGGACGCTGACGCGAACCGCGACCACTAGCGCGAGCAGCACGAACAGGCGACGCGGGACGAGACGCAGGCTCACGACGCTCAGCAAGACCTCCAGTAGGACCAGTGTAAGGAGAGGGAGCAGGCAGAGGAGAGGAAGGCTCCAACAGTGACTGCGACTGGACAGGCTGTGGACACTCTACCGAAGGAGAAAGACCAAGAACCTGCTGTAGGAGCGGAACGAAGTACGGCCGAGGCCGCGCGGCAGCTCCAGACTCAGCAGGGACAGCACCAGCACCCTCAGCGACAGCACCAGCGCCACCCACACCTCCAGCGGCAGGACCAACAGCAGTAGGCTCAGCACCAACGCCCTCAGCACCTCCAGCTGCAGGAGGACCCTCAGGTCCAGCAGCTCCGGGACCGGCAGCACCCGCACCCTCGACGGTCGAAGAAGCTCCAGCTCCAGCTCCAGCAGCACCTCTAGACTCAGCAGCACGCCTCCAGCGGCGAGCGTACCACTCGCGCAGCTCCTGTGGAGAGAGGGGCTCCCGGCGAGACGGAGCAGCAGGAGAAACCCCAGGCTCAGCAGCTCCAGACGCAGCAGGGACAGCACCAGCACCCTCAGCGACAGCACCAGCGCCACCCACACCTCCAGCGGCAGGACCAACAGCACTAGGCTCAGCACCAACGCCCTCAGCACCTCCAGCTCCAGGAGGACCCGCAGGTCCAGCAGCTCCAGGACCGGCAGCACCCGCACCCTCGACGGTCGAAGAAGCTCCAGCTCCAGCTCCAGCAGCACCTCCAGACTCAGCAGCACGCCTGCAGCGGCGAGCGTACCACTCGCGCAGCTCCTGTGGAGAGAGGGGCTCCCGGCGAGACGCAGCAGCAGGAGAAACCCCAGGTTCAGCAGCTCCAGACGCAGCACCCCCAGGCTCAGCAGCTCCCAGCACAGCACCCCCAGGCTCAGCAGCTCCCGACCCAGCACCCCCAGACCCAGTACCTCCAGGCACAGCACCCCCCGGCTCAGCACCCCCAGGCTCCGCACCCACCGCAGTAGCACCCTCAGGCCCAGCACCCCCAGCAGTAGCACCCCCAGGCTCAGCACCCCCGCGCACAGTACCCCCAGAGTCAGCACCCCCAGGCTCAGCACCCGCAGCAGCACCAGAGTCACCAGTAACCTCGACCGGGTCAACGGCGTCTACCTGGGACACACCTGAGGGGGCAGGAACCTGAGGGGGGAGGGGGTCTACCGGGGGGGGAACCGGCACAAGGAAGTCCGGGGGAGGGGGGAGGGAAGGAGTGCGGTAGGGGAAGAGACGGTAGAAGGGGACAGACTCATCGAACGTGACGTCCTGGGAGGACAGAACACGACGAGAGGAGGGGTGGTAAAACTGCCACCCTGGGGCGTCAGTGGGGAAGCCAAGGAAGACACAGGGAGCAGCACGAGGGGACAGCTTGTCCGCAGACAAGTCGCGGACAAACGCCCGAGATCCCCAGACACGGAACACAGACGCATCGCCAACC